GAAATTTCAGTATTTTTCAAATATCTGTTTGTTTATTAGAGAAATCAGTTTGCATTAATTTGATTATTTTCATTAATAAATTGTATTTTCAAATATCTGTTTATTTTCATTAATAAATTATTATTTTTGAAAGTTCAGTATTTTTCAAATATCTATTTGTTTATTAGAAATCAGTTTGCATTAATAAATTGATTATTTTCTGTTAATTTGAAATTTCAGTATTTTTCAAATATCTGTTTGTTTATTAGAGAAATCAGTTTGCATTAATAAATTGATTATTTTCTGTTAATTTGAAAGTTCAGTATTTTTCAAATATCTGTTTGTTTATTAGAGAAATCAGTTTGCATTAATAAATTGATTATTTTCTGTTAATTTGAAAGTTCAGTATTTTCAAATATCTGTTTGTTTATTAGAGAAATCAGTTTGCATTAATAAATTGATTATTTTCTGTTAATTTGAAATTTCAGTATTTTTCAAATATCTGTTTGTTTATTAGAGAAATCAGTTTGCATTAATAAATTGATTATTTTCTGTTAATTTGAAATTTCAGTATTTTTCAAATATCTGTTTGTTTATTAGAGAAATCAGTTTGCATTAATAAATTGATTATTTTCTGTTAATTTGAAAGTTCAGTATTTTTCAAATATCTGTTTGTTTATTAGAGAAATCAGTTTGCATTAATAAATTGATTATTTTCTGTTAATTTGAAATTTCAGTATTTTTCAAATATCTGTTTGTTTATTAGAGAAATCAGTTTGCATTAATAAATTGATTATTTTCTGTTAATTTGAAAGTTCAGTATTTTTTCAAATATCTGTTTGTTTATTAGAGAAATCAGTTTGCATTAATAAATTGATTATTTTCTGTTAATTTGAAATTTCAGTATTTTTCAAATATCTGTTTGTTTATTAGAGAAATCAGTTTGCATTAATAAATTGATTATTTTCTGTTAATTTGAAAGTTCAGTATTTTTCAAATATCTGTTTGTTTATTAGAGAAATCAGTTTGCATTAATAAATTGATTATTTTCTGTTAATTTGAAATTTCAGTATTTTTCAAATATCTGTTTGTTTATTAGAGAAATCAGTTTGCATTAATAAATTGATTATTTTCTGTTAATTTGAAAGTTCAGTATTTTTCAAATATCTGTTTGTTTATTAGAGAAATCAGTTTGCATTAATAAATTGATTATTTTCTGTTAATTTGAAAGTTCAGTATTTTTCAAATATCTGTTTGTTTATTAGAGAAATCAGTTTGCATTAATAAATTGATTATTTTCTGTTAATTTGAAATTTCAGTATTTTCAAATATCTGTTTGTTTATTAGAGAAATCAGTTTGCATTAATAAATTGATTATTTTCTGTTAATTTGAAAGTTCAGTATTTTTCAAATATCTGTTTGTTTATTAGAGAAATCAGTTTGCATTAATAAATTGATTATTTTCTGTTAATTTGAAATTTCAGTATTTTTCAAATATCTGTTTGTTTATTAGAGAAATCAGTTTGCATTAATAAATTGATTATTTTCTGTTAATTTGAAAGTTCAGTATTTTTCAAATATCTGTTTGTTTATTAGAGAAATCAGTTTGCATTAATAAATTGATTATTTTCTGTTAATTTGAAAGTTCAGTATTTTCAAATATCTGTTTGTTTATTAGAGAAATCAGTTTGCATTAATAAATTGATTATTTTCTGTTAATTTGAAAGTTCAGTATTTTTCAAATATCTGTTTGTTTATTAGAGAAATCAGTTTGCATTAATAAATTGATTATTTTCTGTTAATTTGAAAGTTCAGTAGTATTTTTCAAATATCTGTTTTTGTTTATTAGAGAAAAATCAGTTTGCATTAATAAATTGATTATTTTCTGTTAATTTGAAAGTTCAGTATTTTTCAAATATCTGTTTGTTTATTAGAGAAATCAGTTTGCATTAATAAATTGATTATTTTCTGTTAATTTGAAAGTTCAGTATTTTTCAAATATCTGTTTGTTTATTAGAGAAATCAGTTTGCATTAATAAATTGATTATTTTCTGTTAATTTGAAATTTCAGTATTTTTCAAATATCTGTTTGTTTATTAGAGAAATCAGTTTGCATTAATAAATTGATTATTTTCTGTTAATTTGAAAGTTCAGTATTTTTCAAATATCTGTTGTTTGTTTATTAGAGAAATCAGTTTGCATTAATAAATTGATTATTTTCTGTTAATTTGAAAGTTCAGTATTTTTCAAATATCTGTTTGTTTATTAGAGAAATCAGTTTGCATTAATAAATTGATTATTTTCTGTTAATTTGAAAGTTCAGTATTTTTCAAATATCTGTTTGTTTATTAGAGAAATCAGTTTGCATTAATAAATTGATTATTTTCTGTTAATTTGAAATTTCAGTATTTTTTCAAATATCTGTTTGTTTATTAGAGAAATCAGTTTGCATTAATAAATTGATTATTTTCTGTTAATTTGAATTTTTCAGTATTTTTTCAAATATCTGTTTGTTTTATTAGAGAAATCAGTTTGCATTAATAAATTGATTATTTTCTGTTAATTTGAAAGTTCAGTATTTTTCAAATATCTGTTTGTTTATTAGAGAAATCAGTTTGCATTAATAAATTGATTATTTTCTGTTAATTTGAAATTTCAGTATTTTTCTGTTAATTTGAAAGTTCAAATATCTATCTGATTATTTTTGTTTATTAGAGAAATCAGTTTGCATTAATAAATTGATTATTTTCTGTTAATTTGAAAGTTCAGTATTTTTCAAATATCTGTTTGTTTATTAGAGAAATCAGTTTGCATTAATAAATTGATTATTTTCTGTTAATTTGAAAGTTCAGTATTTTTTGTTTATTTTGTTATAAAGTAGTCATTATTACTTATGTTTAAAATATTCTAGAATTTGTTATACCTGATATAGAAACAATTTATTTTATTTGTTATCCTCTTTGATAACTTGAGGTGGATGCAGTATTTTTAGTTAGAGTGGGTGTGTTCCTCAATAAAAAATCTCAATTCAAAATTTTAAATTGAGGTGATCATATATATTAGGTTATAGAAATGAGTAGAGTGTTCATTCATATATATATATATATATATATATATATATATATATATATATATATATATATATATATATATCATTTTTAAGCATTTCACCCCAAGCAAGGTGGGAGTGCCACTAGCATGCAAGGGGTTACAGAGATTGGAAGCAAGAGTAAAGAGGTGTGATAGAGGAAAGGATGAAGGGAAGTATGGAGAATTAGATGAAGGCAACAGAAGATGTCGATTCACATTACATTTGAATAGCTGAAGATTATAGCTATCAGGGATGCAAGTAAGAGGAAGGGAGTTTCACAGACGGGAAGTGCGAGACATGCAGCTACTGGAGTAGAAGAGACGGTTAAATTTAACAATTTCAGCAGTGAAAGGGTGGGACTGAGATGCCAACCTAGTAGCATGCTTAAATTCATGCAGTTTGGGAACCAGCGAAAGTAGCTCGTTGGAGCAGTTTCCAGGAAAATATTTGTAGAAAAGACAGAGAGATTTGGGTTTTGTTTTATTTATGTTATATGTAAAATGGTAAATTTAAACTTTTAGATTCAAAGTGTGATTATATAACGTTTATGAAAGAGGATTTACTAAAATCAGTTTTTGTGGATTCTTATTTGCATAGAGGTTCATGGTTTTATCCCTGTTTAACTCAATGTTTTTGGGAACATACAAAAGAGGCAGCACATTTAATCTGTCTTCATTTATTGAGCACCTCATTTGATTTTTTTATAAATTTCAAGGATGAGTTTCATTGCTCAACAGGACTGGCAAACACACCGCTAAGTGTCAGATGCTGAAGAACTTTCATAATGTTCGGAAACATTTTGGCACAAGACATTGGGTGTTACAGAGTTTGAGATTGTTTCTGGTTTAAAAGCAGCTTTTTTTTCCACATGGTTTTCCAGATGGTAACTCCTTAATTCAAAAGCTCTTTGCTCACATCCAAATCAACTCAGAACTGCTCATAAATATTTTTAACGGTTTCATCCAGCAACTTCAAAAGGTTCACAGGTAGAAGATTGATACATAAGACACATTGTAGTTGAAAATCAGCAGCTGAACTCTTGTAAGAGAGAGTTGAGAAATTGAATATAGATTGCACGCTTAAAATATTCACTGTTAGTCATAAGCTTCGCATTTTCAGTCATTTTCTTGAATGACGTATTAACTTATTTATATTGCAACAAAATTATTTTCTCAGAAATGGTCGGGGTGGGGGTATGGGGTGGGTTTGCTGCACCCTCTATGCACCCCTCACGCCTGGATCCGCCCCTGTAACTAGATATCTTGTTTTAGATAATTAATACACCAAGACCTACTCTAAAATCAGCTGTTCCTGTATTTTACATTTATTAAATAATATCAAGTATAAATGTTTTAATATAAACTCACTATTTTAGAAAGTTTATGGCAATTTTCTTTCCATCCTCGGTAAGACGATAAACTACATCTGACAGCAAGGCCTTTGATCAGGAGGTTTTGAGGAGCATAGAACCACCTCTTAATTGCTGGTGTTTCCAGGTCCACCCTGACCTGAAGTGGTAGCACCTGTTAGGGTCTCAGCTATGGGAAAATACTTAACAGACCAAAAGGGGTCAAAACACTATGAAAGTATAAAAATAAGTTTTAATACCAGCAATACTTTTGGGGAAAAATTAGCAGCAATATATTTTTGCAAAAGAAAAATATTACCAGCAATACAATTTTTGAAAAAAAAAGATTATTACCAGCAATACATTTTTGAAAAAGAAAAATATTACCAGCAATAAAAATCTTGACAGCATTAAATAACCCATTGAGGTTGATATGCAAACCAAACCAAACCAAGCAATTTCTTGAAATAAATTTGCATTTTCTGATATTTCTGCCAAATGCTATTGTTTCATTTTTTCATGTTTCATTTTTTAGCATTGACTTATTGCCATTGATGAAATGATGTTAATGATATTTTACAGCCTTCAGGGACAAATGACGCCATCAATTCACAGGTCCTCAGTTTGAGCAGCTCTGCCTCTCCCCTGCTGAAACTAGGAGGCAGTGCTGAGAGTTGCTCACAAATGGAAATGGGACCAGGTAGTTTATTACGTTTTTATAAATTACATTTGCATTTTCAACAATTTGATCTGAGACAAAACCTTTTTGCCACATTTCTAAAATGGTAGATGATTTTTTAAAATAATATTATAAAAATCTCCACAACACTAAGCAGAAAATATTACATCAAGAAAAGTACACAATTCTTTTTCTCTTAGCAGTTATGTTTGTTCTTTAAGAATTTCTTATATCTTCATGGTATAAATATTCATACTGAGAGATCTGTTCAGCTAATTTGCTACCAGTATGTCTATAAATTGATCTGTTCAGCTAATTTGCTACCAGTATGTCTATAAATTGATCTGTTCAGCTAATTTGTTACCAGTATGTCTATAAATTGATCTGTTCAGCTAATTTGTTACCAGTATGTCTATAAATTGATCTGTTCAGCTAATTTGCTACCAGTATGTCTATAAATTGATCTGTTCAGCTAATACCAGTATGTCTATAAATTGATCTGTTCAGCTAATTTATTTACCAGTATGTCTATAAATTGATCTGTTCAGCTAATTTTACCAGTATGTCTAAATTTGTGTTCAGCTAATTTGCTACCAGTATGTCTATAAATTGATCTGTTCAGCTAATTTGTTACCAGTATGTCTATAAATTGATCTGTTCAGCTAATTTACTACCAGTATGTCTATAAATTGATCTGTTTAATTTGCTACTAATTATGTCTATAAATTGATCTGTTCAGCTAATTTGTTACCAGTATGTCTATAAATTGATCTGTTCAGCTAATTTGCTACCAGTATGTCTATAAATTGATCTGTTCAGCTAATTTGTTACCAGTATGTCTATAAATTGATCTGTTCAGCTAATTTGCTACCAGTATGTCTATAAATTGATCTAAGAGAAAGAAGCATTTAATTTCAAACAGTCTTCTTCAAAATGCTTGTCATTTTTTGTTGTTTTTTTAATCAACTTATTCGCAAGATATACAAAACTCAAATTTTGGGAATAGCATTTAAAACAGCAGAGTGTAAACCTATACATACATTTACCTCATCATCAGGTCAAGAATTCTTTTTGGATTTTCAATACTATTGCAAATGCATCTGTAAACAAGCAAGCAGTGACTGCATGGAAAAAGGTCAATGAAATCAGTGGCCAAAAAAGCTGTAGCAAAGCCAAGCTACATGCTATTGATCAAAATGCGAGGATTAGCAAATAGAAAATGCACTTTGAAGACCTGCTTGGCAAGCCTCCCACAATTACAAAGAAACCCACACAAAGAATAATCAAACTCAACATCAAGAAAGGAATTTTCAAAATGAATGGACTGACAGTTACAAAGCACATAAAGTGTGGAAAGGCTTGTGGACATCTGTGCCGAGGTCTGGTTGACAGATGACTTTGATGTTTACCATATTAATACAAAATTTACCAAATAGAAGTAAAACAAACGAAATAGAAAAAAGCTTCACTTTAAAAGGAAAAAAAAAATCAACTTAGAAATTTATTTAAAAAAATGTTAATTTCAAACTAGACAAAAACATTAAAGTCAGTCAAGAGGATGATCCTGAAAGTATTTTCTTCATTCATTTTTATATTAAATCTAGTGTTGTATTTTAGTTTTACTAGCAAAAATCTTTTTTAACTGTTAATCTTTTCACAACACTAAATACTAAATATTGTCAAGATTTTTCTATTTTTAGAATAATTCTAAATGTTTGTTTATAATTATTTATCAAAAACTATATCATTTCTTGTAATCAATATTTCAATTGTTTCAATGTTAATTGCTTCTTATATTCATTGATGTGACTGAACAAAAATATTTCAGTGACTTAATTCCTAACATATTTAAAGCTACATTTAATTTATTCAAAAACTATTAGAATTATATGCTGTCACTGATGGATCTCCTTTGATATATATAAAGAATATATCTTGAGAATTATTCTTTGATGTTTTGGTTAGGTGAGAGACGTTTCTATATAATTTGTGTGAAAGAAAAAAACTTTGAATCAAAATGATGATCATTGATAGACTTGTAAATTCCATGACTTTTAGTTTTGATCATCTTTGTGTTACTGATGAAATCATTTTTATTTAATTTTCAGATGGGAAACGCATATCATTATCTGAAGCTGAGGTATGAAACAATTCATATTATTTTCTGTAAAGTAAAATTCAAGCAATATTTAATTGTATGACATAAGATAACTCTGTGGCCATTTTACTTTTTTATTCTTTTATTTTTTTTCAGAAAAAAAAAGCTCGTGAAAATGTCCAAGATGCCCCTGAGACTTACCAGTTGTTTTCATTTCTGCAAATACTCACTGCTGTTTTTGGTTCATTTGCACATGGTGGAAATGATGTCAGGTAAAATTTTTGTGCTTTTCTTTCCAAATTTCATCCAAGATTTTCATTAATAAATTTTACTTCTTTTTACATTATTTTTTTACATTATTTTACATTATTTTTACATTATATTTTTACATTATTTTTTTTTATTATTTTACACATTTTTTTTTTACATTATATTTTTGTATTATTTTACATGATTTATTTTACATATTTTTTTTACATTATTTTTTACATTATTTTACATTATATTTTTACATTATTTTTTACATTATTTTTTTACATGATTTTACATTATTTTTTTACTTTATATTTTACATTATTTTTTACATTATTTTTATATTATTTTACATTATTTTACATTATATTTTTGTATTACTTTTACATGATTTTTTTACATGATTTTACATTATTTTTTACATTATTTTTTTACAGTATTTTACATTATTTTTTACATTATATTTTTTACATTATTTTAAATTATTTTTTACATTATTTTTTTTACATCATTTTTTACATTACTTTTTTTACATTATTTTTTACATTATTTTATATTATTTTTTATATTATTTTGATAAAAAATCAAAAATGTAACAATATTAAAAAAGAAATTTTTATCTTCATTTAAGAAAATTTTATCTTCACTTAGCACAAATAAATACCATACATAAAATGATTATTCTAATTGTAATAAAATATTTTTACAGGTGAATTAAACAAAAGCCATACCTTACTACAAGCATCTTTTAAGTTTATCATCATCATCACCACCACCATATTGCAATATTACAATTATCAAGATATATATTATACTAAAATCTAACAAAATCTAATCATTTTCATTAAGCCATTGAGTTCATTGCTTAGACATTTATTTGATATTCATATTTTTAGTATTTAATATACATATATTTCATATTTATTTAATATTAATTAATATCCAAATATTATTTAATATTTATTTAATATCCACATATCACTTTATATAGCTGAATATATACCCTTGTGCAAATTAATTGAAACAACTGCTTTAGTTTCCTTTCTTTCACCGTACGGTAGAGTGACAGGGTGTAATCAAGTTCTGTTTTTTCTCAGATTAGGTCATTTACAGTGGTGTGCAGTAATAGGAATCTATTTTCAGGGTGCATGATGAAATTTGTTTGGCCTTGAAAAATATTGCATCATCTGTGATTACATCAGATTTTCATCACGCCCAGACACGATTATCTCGACTGTCAATTAGTTGTCCTACGGCCATTGTCTGTGATGGACATTACTCCAAGTGTACAAAATTTGTAATGTTACATGAATACACTGGCAAGCCTTACTAGTGAGCAAATCAAACTACTATAGACTGGCCCGGAAACTCCCCTGATTTAAATCCAATTGAGAATCTTTGGTCAATCTGCTAGGAAAGACTTCATTGAATGGACATACAAAGAACTAACATGTGCACTGGGTCATGTTTCATTGGAAAAATACAAAAAAAAAGTAAATAATAACAAAATTATTCCTTTTGTTTCAATTTGTACAAGGGTGTATGTACTGCAACTCATATCATTTCATATACATGACTTATTTACAAGGATACAGCATTGTGGTTCTCTTAGATTTTATTTTGAAAGATAAAGAGAAGCTCTGATAAACTCATTACCTTCAAGAAAAAACAAGATTTGTCCTAAAAAAAAACAAAAAAAAAACTAAAAGCCTCTATAATTTTGTATATTTCAGTAATGCCATTGGTCCAATTGTTGCCTTATGGGTAATTGCCCGTGATAAGAGTGTATTGCAAGCAGCTCCCACACCTATTTGGATCCTCTTTTATGGTGGATGCGGTATCTCCCTAGGATTATGGATCTGGGGACGACGTGTCATTAAAACTATGGGTGAAGATTTGACTAAAATTACTCCATCAAGGTATGTAACTGGCAATAAATACTATTTTTTCTGAGACATCCCTCTCCCAAATTCATAATTGACAAACATACATATATATATATATATATATATATATATAATCAATTAGATTTTTATCAACTTAACCCCAAAACATTACCTTTTTCCCATATCTGTCTATATCTCTGAGATTAAGTATTATGATTACATGCATTATTTACATCATTCGGACTGTTATCGTCATCATCATTGCCATATTCACAACGTTTCAGCCTCTATATCTCTGAAATGAGGTATTATGATTACTTGCATTATTTACTTTATTCCGACTGTTATCCTCATCTTTATTGCCATATTGACAAGATTTTGGCCATTGTACACTCTGGCCTTCTTCAGGTGATTAGAATTTCAAACCAAACCCTTTATTTTGTCCACCGGGGTAGATTGTTCTAGTTCCACATGGCCCAGTGGATAAAGACATTGGTTGGATCCAGTGACTAGACCCAAAGAGTTGTGAGTTTAATACCAGGCCACAGCAGTGAACCAAACTTGGAGAGTTGAATTAAAGGGAAATAACTGAGACATCTGGAAGAGGCATGGCACGTGGAACTAGAACAACTTACCCCGGTGGATGAAATAAGGATTCGGTTTGAAATTCTAATTACTTGAAGGAGGCTGGTGTGTCCAATGGCCCAAGTGTTGTCAAAATGGCAATGAAGATGAGGATAACAGTCCGAATAATGTAAATAATGAAAGTAACCTTTTTTTTCAATCTTCTACTATTTCTATGAGAACAGAAACCATTTAATCAAAATAATAATTCTGATTTCTTTGTCTTCTGACCTTTTCCCAAAATTTGACAACTTTCTATAAATAACAAAACACATGATTAATTTTAAGAATGCTGACCCATTCATCAACCCTCATCCCTCAATCCTCAGCCTTTCCCCAGCAGGTGGGGAAGGCTGAGAATTGATGGGTACTTTTAGATCTTACTGTACTCTACTGATAACGATGGGATTAACTTGTCCCACATAGGTGTTTACTTGTTACAGAAAAAGAAAAAAAAATGGGTCAGTTAAAATTACTCTCTACGTACAAGTTTCAGGCATGTTTTAGAAAACAAATGATTTTGAACAAATTAGAAATTGCAGATCCTTTATTAACACAAATTAAAAATAAAATTATGAATTTGAATTTATAATTTTTTTTTTTAACTTATAATAAACTTGGTGTAAAATGTTGATTTGACTTGGGTAACCAAATACTTCATTTGTATTTCTTTGTTCTAGAGTGATATTCTCCGACTAAAATATCCTAACTAATGATAGTTGATGAACTTGTTTAAAATAAGACTTTCAGTATTGATTGTTCCTCATCTAAAAAGAAAAGAAAGAAATGGTTCTTGTTGCTTAAAGCAAAATCATTTGAATTTTTATTTCAATTTTGTTAGTTAATATTAGGAAATTCCTTCCTTCTGCAAAAATCATATTTTTCACTGTAAGGATTTGCTTAAAATTGCTAAAAATTGTTCCCTAAGTAATAAGCCAAAATTGACTAACTTTGACGGTATGCTAATGGAATTTCAAAAAATATTTTTAGTTTGGCAATTTTCCATTTATTGTCTGACTACACAAAGATATTACTCTGGTGGTTCAGGTTGATCTGAGCAAGAAATGGTTGTGGTTTCCTTTAGTGAATTCTACAATTCACAGTTAAAAATAAAAATCCTATTTTCAGTGTAAATTATTCCATCTTCAGATTGATCCATTTCAAAAGGTTTTACCATTTTCCTGGCCTATGAGTCACCGTAAAGTGTTTGTGTTATTTCTTTTATATTTTATAGTAAACTGAGCAATCATCAATAATTATATCTTTATTAAAATTTTACATCTTAGTCTGTTTAATTCTATCATGTCTTTGTATTTTTATAAATATACACACACACACACACACACATGTTCCTTATTAAGGTTATTACAATGACATTATCAATTTTTTGTCCCAATATTTCATCTAATTAAAAATGGACAATAAAACTGCTGCTATTCACAAATGTAATGTCTATTCAGATGTTTCTAATGAAAGAAATAATTTTTCAATTTGAATCAACATGCAATTATTCAATAAATTTAAAAAAAAAAAATTATTTTATTAATCCATTCTGACAGTACACTCATACAAATTGGATGAACTTTTAAATTCATGACCTTTTTAAATGCTAATTTATCTGATCTTTGAAGATGAATAAAAAAAAAAAAAAATGAAAAAAAAATATCTTCAACAGTCAACCAAAATTTTCTTCACTAAATTGTGTGGAAATTTTTTTTCATTTTTGTTTTTACTGCCATGCTCTTCCAGAACATAGCTGATCATAATTCCTATTTCTTATTTTGTTTGTGAATTACCATGACTTCTGACCTTTTGTCACATTCAATTATGATGTGAACGCACTGATAAATACCTACCATGACGTCTTGGGACAGATAGTGAAATTTCCTTTGTTTTCTTCACAGTTTTTAATCCAGAATAGGCCTTCACCTAGACTTGCTACCATCCAAAGCTAAAGAGCTCTATATACTCAACTATTTAACCCATAACTGGAAGGGAAATAAATTAATTCAAGCCTTTCCTAAGAGCATTAGTGTGAAAGTGAATGTAATAGGCTAAACCAGAATTTGAACTCAGTTGGCTGATACCACCAATAACCATTATGCAACCCACTTTTAAAGAATGTATAGCATAAATTTCACATTTTTATGAGGTGAATTTCTTTTGTCATTATTTCTATATCTCATAGCATTTGTTTTGCAAACTTAAAATTTGAATTCTTGTATTATAAGAAAATTGTTTTCATTGCTCTGCATTTCTGTTGGCATAAATGCCATGAATTCACTGTTTTTTTTTTCTTCTTTTATAGCGGTTTCTGTATTGAAATTGGTTCTGCACTGACTGTTCTCATTGCTTCCAACATTGGCATCCCCATCAGCACAACGCACTGTAAGGTCGGTTCTGTTGTGTTTGTTGGTCGAGTACGTTCAAAAGAGAATGTTGACTGGTCACTCTTCCGAAATATTGTGTTGGCATGGCTAGGGACTTTGCCTGCTTCAGGACTGCTCAGTGCCTTGATAATGTATCTCTTCCTAAAGTATATACCTACCTGAAGGGGGAGTGAATTATTATAAAAATAAAAGAAAACACGCATATAACAAAAGTAGTGATGAAAAAAAGAAACAACAGTGGCAACAAGTTCTATCAATATTGCTAGTAATACTACCAGTAGTACTATTATTATTACTACTACTACTACTAATAAATCTGATACTAATTAAAGAACTTATGTAAATGCAAGATGATAGTGCCATAAAAATATGGAGCCAGAAATATGTGCAAGAAAAAGGAAAATCAAACAAAAAAATAGAAAGAAAGAAACAGGAAAAAATGAAAAAAAAAACCTGAAAATAGGCGGGAAAAGTGAATCATTTGTTTTTGTTAAAATTTTAAAAACATCAAAAGACAATGCAATTGAATCTTATTGATTGGAAAATAATTTTTCTTTCTATTAAAATAAGAAAAAATAAAATAAAACTTTGTTTTTCTTTTTTCTTTAAAAAATACAAAAATAAAACTTTGTTTGCCACTTTTTTTTTTTTCTTTACTAAAAAAATGCTGTGTCCATTTTTTAAACTTTAGATGCTGCATCTATTTTGCCAGCTACAAAAAACATTGTCTTAATGCCACTGGCTACAAAATAGATGCTGTGACCATTGTCTTCTTCATGCCACTGGCTGCAAAATAGATGCTGTGTCCATTGTCTTCATGCCACTGGCTGCAAAATAGATGCTGTGACCATTGTCTTCCATTGTCTTCATGCCACTGGCTACAAAATAGATGCTGTGTCCATTGTCTTCATGCCACTGGCTGCAAAATAGATGCTGTGTCCATTGTCTTCATGCCACTGGCTGCAAAATAGATGCTGTGACCATTGTCTTCATGCCACTGGCTGCAAAATAGATGCTGTGTCCATTGTCTTCATGCCACAGGCTGCAAAATAGATGCTGTGTCCATTGTCTTCATGCCACTGGCTGCAAAATAGATGCTGTGTCCATTGTCTTCATGCCACTGGCTACAAAATAGATGCTGTGTCCATTGTCTTCATGCCACTGGCTACAAAATAATGTTCCATTGTCTTCAAATGAGAAAAATGAGAAAAAAAGTCTTTGATTATTTAACTTTCATGGTAAATTTTGAACATGGAACCAGCAAATATGCCACTTACAAATTTGAAAATAGATGCTGTGTCCATTGTTTTCATGCCACTGGCAAAATAATGCTGTGTCCATTGTCTTCATGCCACTGGCTACAAAATAGATGCTGTGTCCATTGTCTTCATGCCACTGGCAAAATAGATGCTGTGTCCATTGTCTTCATGCCACTGGCTACAAATAGATATTTCATGCCACTGGCTACAAAATAGATGCTGTGTCCATTGTCTAGAATGCCACTGGCTACAAAATAGATGCTGTGTCCATTGTCATGCCAGCAAAATGAAATGTCCATTGTCTTCATGCCATACAAAATAGATGCTGTGTCCAATACAAAATGTGCTGTGTCATTTTCTTGGCTACAAGGGGCTGTGTCAAAATCATAAATAGATGCTGATCCATTGTCTTTCATTCATGCCACTGCTTCAAAATAGATGCTGTGTCCATTGTCTTATGCCACTGTCTACAAAATAGAGACCATTGTCTTCATGCCACTGGCTACAAAATAGATGCTGTGTCCATTGTCTTCATGCCACTGGCTACAAAATAGATGCTGTGTCCATTGTCTTCATGCCACTGGCTACAAAATAGATGCTGTGTCCATTGTCTTCATGCCACTGGCTACAAAATAGATGCTGTGTCCATTGTCTTCATGCCACTAGCAAAATAGATGCTGTGTCCATTGTCTTCATGCCACTGGCTGCAAAATAGATGCTGTGTCCATTGTCTTCATGCCACTGGCTACAATGCTGTGTCCATTGTCCATACCAGCAATTGTCTTCAAACCACTGGCTACAAAATACTACCCACAAAATAGATGCTGGGTCCATTGCTGAGCCAAAATAGATGCAACATTGCATCCTAAAAAAAACGCTGTGTCCATTGTCTTCTCCTTCACTACCTCTTAATTGAGCCACTGGCTACAAAATAGAAGCTGTGCCATTGTCTTCATTTTAACAAAATGAAAAAAAAAAAAATGGACCATTGTCTTTGCCACTGGCTACAAAATAGTGATACCATTTTTATGTAATAATGCTGTGTCCATTGTCTTCATGCCACTGGCAACAAAATAGACAGTCCATTGTCTTCATCCCCAACTAAAAAAATCTTATTTACAAAATAGATGCTTGTCCATTGTCAATGCCAATTCCCCAATATTCATGAGAAGCTTTAAATGAATTTGATTGTCTTTATCCCAATAAAAAAGAATAAATTTGCTATGTAATTTGACCATTATTATTATTATTAATAATTGAGGATTTTAATTATTTGTTTTGAAGATCAAAGTCAAAATTAGCTTCCAAATTCATTCCAGTCAGAAATTCTAATATAATCTGAAAACATTATTCCTTTGTCTTTGTGAGAGTTAAAAGATTCCTGATAATATTACTGATGTTACCTCTTAATCAAGCTGCCACTTTAAACAAAATGAATAAAAAAAAATGGTCCTTTTCATATTAATTCTTATATTTAATTGTCATAATACAAACAATAAGTTTTACAGTTTATAATAATTATTATGTACAATAACTCTCTATTTTTCAGAGAGATAGGTGATTTAATAATTACATTATTAGCACTGAATATGTTAATTTTATTCATAAAGTAAACCTTGAAAGGTTACCCTGTGTCTTTAAGATAGCTATATATTGTTTGGCAGGGTGGAGTAATGGATAGCAGCTTGGAGTGAGAAATCAGATAGCTAAGTTCAAATTCCAATCAAATCCATTAGATTCAATTACATACTAATACCCTTGGGAAAGGTATGAATCCTCTTCTTCTCCCCATTAGATTCAATTACGCCTAATACCAGCTGGGGGTAAATAGTCACCAGGACAGACCAGGTTCAGACCAGGTTCTATAGCCTTGGGTGGCAGCTGGTCTACCGCAGAAAGAAATGGCAACCTACCACGGGAAAAAACCTGCCTCGTCAGTCATGTATCAAAAGATACACATATGGCACATAACTGATATTATTTGTGCTACCTGGAGTGGTTGTAGAATTTGCCAGCCCTTTAAACAACATTCCAAAATGAACATCATTTACAAAATATAAAGAAAAATTAGCATTACTACCATTTATTTTGTTTTGACTGCAGACAAAAGAAAAAAAACAAAACAATTATTTTAAGTTAATTTTTCTGGTTTCCCGCTTCACAAAATCTTGAATCATGGTATCAAAATTTATTTCTTTGGCAGTAGAAAGTACTGGCAGAGAGGTTAGCCTTGACTCATTGCTGCTCTAAGGTAGTTCTTTATTAACTTCAGTTTAGAGATTGTTACACAATACCAATTTTATAAGCCAGGAACATGTGTAGAAGAACAAATATGGTAAGGAATTTATGAAATTTTCAATGAACTGCAGAAATTGCAAAGGCCTGCTCGTCTCTTTAGTTTCAGCAACCACCACAAAATCCTGCAGTTTCTTCTTCTCCATGAGGGAATCTTTTTTTTTATATATCTTAACTGGCAAGAATATACTTCCTCTAATAGATTTGAATGCATAAGGAAGTTGTATTTCTCTGAAAGGCCATGAAGTTGTTCAAATCTAGAAAATATTTCTTCAGTTAGCCTGTCTAGCACAGAGATTTCTCTTTTTACCTTCATAACCTTATGCTGCAGTGTGAGACCCTTCACCCTCCATTCATTTATTCCTGTGAATTCAAAACTAACAATTTCCTTTGCAATAGGTTATTGCATCCCCCACTATCTTGTCTCACTTTTGAAGAAGAGCACCTCTTAAAGCCAAGAGTTTAAGGGTACATTGTTTGGAGAGACATTTGAGCATCATTAATTTCAGGAAGTATAGACTTACAAAGACCAAGGAAAGTCTAAAAATGAAATTATTTACATTATTCAGACTATTGTATTTGTTGCCATATTTATCACGTTTTGGCCATTGTATGCTCCAGCCTTCTTCAGGTGGTTGGTATGTTGAACTGAACCCTTTACTTTGCTTGCCGGGGTAGACTTTATCCACTGTGCACAGTTGATAAAGGCATTGGTTAGATCCAGTAACAGGACCCAAAGAGTTGTGAGTTCAATACCTGGTTAAGGCAGTGGAGAACTTGGAGAGATGAATTAACAGCAGATAACTTATAACTGACATCCATTAAAATATGGCATGTGGAACTAGAACAGTCTACCCCAGTGAGCGAAATAAAGGGTTCAGTTCAACATTCCAACCACCTGAAGAAGGCCGGAGCATACAATGGATGAAATGTTGTGATAAATATGGCAACAAAGATGAAGACAATAGTCCGAATAATGTAAATAGTGTACATAATACCTCATCTCAGAAATATAGATACTAAGCGAAATTATATCATCACATTAAAAACCAACCGTACATCTGACCTAGTAGCTGCATTTTCTCTATCTTCTGATTGTCATTCCAGAGCAATCATTGAAAATTGTTTTCTGTACAACATTCACAGCATCTGCTCGACTACTCCATCTTGTTTCCACAACCAGTTTAATAGTCTGACCAATTGTTGCACTAAAGATATTCAAATGAGGAACCGAGGCAGAAAAGAATGAACGTAAATGGTCTGATGTTCCTAAAAATGTTGCAGAATCAACAGCCCCTTAAGCTGCAAGCAGATCTACCGAATTCAGCAAGTGAATTGTGTATGGCATAAATACATTTGGGGTTACTCCTGTGATGCACTTTTGAGCATAAGATTAATGACCTCCTTTTAAAGCCATATAGCCAAATGTTTGTAGTTGAGAAGAATATTGCAATAGTGTTGCTTTTAACATTTAAAACAAATATCAAAAGTCTTAATTGTTAATGTACTAGTTCCCCACCCCACTATAAAAAAAAGAGACAGTGATGAAAATGAATAAATAAGATGGTAAAACATATTTAAAAGTAATTAGAAAAAAAACTTCTTTAG